CTTTTTCAACCTTAATGATTCTGTGATTCTAAGATGTGGATTCTGGTTTTCTCAGAAATTAATAGCTCTTCAGTGTGCGCTAGTAACTGCATTTTATTTCTTACAGACTAATTTTAAGTATCTTGGCAAATTTCTAGTTGCACTGACTTGATATAATAGGATATTTTTAACCTCTTGATTGGTAAGAGGCATTCACATGTATAATTTACCAATCTTGCCTAGTGTTTTTCAGACCCAATTCTCCAGTTCAGTATGTATTATGTTGGCCTACATGGTGTGCCGTTAACTAAGCAGATACATTAAAAACTGAGAGCAAGACTTTCAGAGTTCTGGTCTAGCTCTTTCAATCTGAATACTCAACAGGTAAACTAATAACACAAAATATTTAACTCATCTTTTATTGGGAAAAGAATCATTACCAGAGAAACTATAGAAGAAATTCAACCAATATTAATCGTCAGCTAGCTTTCAGTCGTTATCACGTTTGGGATTTCTTTCGTTTATTTTTTTTTTTCCCCCTCTCTGTGGCAGAGTGGCTCTGTTTTACTGCTAACTGGTCCTTCTGGAAGTGGAAAGACTGCAACTATACAAATATTAGCAAAAGATCTTGGTGTTCAGGTGCAAGAATGGACCAATCCAGTACCTTTAGACTTTACAAAAGAAGACTTAAGAAATATGTTTGACCAGGGTAAGTATTTTGGTTTTTTTTTCTTTCCTTCTTTTTACTTTTGAGACTCTTGTATTCTGTATTTTTTATTCTTTTTGGTGTGTCACATATGAAGTCAGATTCACATCCACGTAAGTCAAATCCTTAGCGTTTAATAAGAATCTTTCTTTTGTTTTTTTATCAAAAGGGATTTAATTTTTTTACAGTGTTTACTCCAAAATAATTTGCAATTCAAAACAGTATAGAGAGCAATGTAGTAGCCTGGATATCATTTGAGCTGATTAAGTAAAAAGAGGTAAGTCTGTCTTCTTCTGGGCCCTCAATTGAATTCTACCCTTTAAAAATGCTGTTGTATTTGTCCTGTGTTTGCCAAAGGGCTTGACTGCTGGTGTTCAATGGATACTGTCAGAAAATAGCATGGATGGGTATTAGTTCTTGTGGGTATTTATCTTCTACTTGGTATAATATAGGATACATACTTTTAATTAGTTTTCTTTTTCAGACTCAAATTTTCATACGTTTCCGAGTCAGGCCCAAGCAGCTCTCTTTCAAGATTTTCTATTAAGAGCAAATAAGTATAACAAACTTCAGATGCTTGGGGAGTCCTCAGAAAATGATAAAAAGCTTATTCTTATTGAAGTAAGTGAAAACTTGTGAAATCTTGTTTTGAAAACAATACCTTTTGTTATAATATTGACATGCTAACTAGCTTCAGCTTGTGGATTGGTGTTGCCAAAAATTAGTCTGCTTTACTGCAGATGAGTTTGTTCGTACTTTTTTTGAGTCTACAGCAGTCTAGAGCCAAGTTTTACCTGCAGTTAAATTATATAAGCTAGTAGTCAGGCAGAAATTAGAGACTAGTTTTTGATACGCCATTACTTATTTCTGTACACAAAGTAAATCAAAACAATATTGAAAAGTCATACCCATTTTTCTGTGTGATTAGCTTTCTAGAAATATATGTGTGTATAAACAGGAAGAGGAGGGGAAGAACCCACTATTCATGTTACTTAAGGATACAGGAGACTGTAGAAGATACATGAGCATTAACAGAGTCAGAAAGTACTTGAAACTTAGCATTCCTTGGTCTTAATGCGGAGGGTGTTATTTAGGGCAGGTACGTGAACTCTGAGGGTTTGTAAGCCATAATGGGAGGTAGAGGAAAAGACTTTATTTTTACTTATTCAGGAGTGTGTTTCAATAGCATTTCTGAGCTTTTAATCTTTTTCTGAGAGGAATTTAGTAAATCAAGTTGCCTGTAAACTTTCAAGGAAAAGAGCAGATTAGACAAACATTCTAGCTGAGTACTGTGATGTACAGCAGAATTTAGGAGGCATAGTTTTCTGTGACTTCTCTTCATAAAGTCACTTTCTTGTGTAGGTGCAAGTAGTATATCCTGCCCTTTTCTGCAGTGGACCTGCTACCTTGAGTGTTTATTCTCTGAGTAAATTCTGTCTAGCAGGCAATGTTATCACCCAAGGCTGTTTCTTAGGAAACAAGGACAGAAGGAAAATGGGGGTTTTTTTAGATATTGTTTTCTGTAATGAAAGAAAGAATGCTATGCTTTGGTTGTTTTCTTCCTTTGGTTTTTTTTCCTCCTGGTTATCTTCAGTGCTAGCCGCATTCAAATTTAGTTGAAAGCAAGCTAACTAGGAAGAAAAAATGTGGAGCAACATACTGTGCCATAACAGTCAATCTGTGGGAGAGAATATTCACATCTGAATATAATGACAGCAGTAATTTGTTTTGAACAGGACATACCTAACCAATTCTATCGAGACCCAAGTAGTCTACATGAAATTCTCAGGTCAGTTGCAAATAAGTTTTTAATGATTAGCTTTAGCCACTGGCAGTAAACTGGAGTTTGATTCTTGTCATACTTGCTTGTTTTTCAACGTAGGAGATTTGTTCGTACAAGTAGATGTCCCCTTATATTTATAATCTCGGATAACTTCAGTGGAGACAACAACCAGAGGTTACTATTCCCAACAGAAATTCTAGAGGAGTTATGTATATGCAATATTAGGTAAGATCTTTTATCTCATTAAAACTTGATTGAAATAAATGAGAAGTCAAAAACTAATTATTTTTTTTTAAATGAAATTCAACAGTTTCAAGCCTGTTGCACCAACAAATATGATGAAAGTTCTTAATCGAATAGCTGCAACAGAAGCTAGTATGGTAAGTTGTGAACTGATAACTTCTGTGCAGTGCTAAGACCAAAAGATTTCAGACTTTTATATCTGAAATATGTTATTTATATTTATTACTGTATTTGTTTGATCTTTGATAGCAGCCCCTCACATCCCCCCAAAAAATCCCACCAATACCTTCCAGTAAAAAACAAGAAAAAAATTTTGAACGATGGTTTGTTTTTAATTAGTTCCGCTTGATCCTCAGTCTGAGTCTTCAAAGTTATTTCTGAAAATTCTTTTGCCTATTACAGAAACTATATCTATGAAACAAGTAATAGGAATAGAAGTAATTTTCATTGTATCCAGCAAGGCCCAGAAAGGTCAGGAACCTAAATCCTGTATTATTCCTGAACTGTTTTGATTACAACCTTGCAACCTTTTAGTGACACATTGCGAAGAATTATGTGCATTATTCTCTTTAATACTGCTATTTAGAATGTGGCAATGTGCTTAAATGGATTAAATGTTTTAAAGTTAGCAGTATGACACGATTTGAGCACATGGTGGATGCTGACGTAGTCTGTTTATGGTGTGTGTCAGAGGTGGGTCCTCACAGCCAGAATAATATTAAAATAATCCTTTTCCTATTTTTTCTTATTACTTTGACTGTTGCTTTTCCTTGTAGAACAGAGAAAAAAATTACGCTCTTGACAAAACTTCTCTGGAGTTGCTTTGCAGAGGTTGTTCAGGTGATATAAGAAGTGCAATAAACAGTCTTCAATTTTCTTCTATGAAAAGTAAGTACCTAGGATTTGTTAATTGAATGATGTGACCATTTCTGCTGTAGAGGTATTCTGTTCACTGTTGCAGCAACAGCTGGGTGAGGTGTGCAAAACATTTTTGACATGCTGTTCTGGAGCAGGAATAAAAGGCACAAAGTTGTGGGTTGTTGGTTTGTTTTTTTTTTTTAAGCTGAAAACTTTCCATTTTATGACTGTTATATGTAGTCCTAAAACTGCGTAACATCTCCTACATATGTGTTGATGTAATTTAATAAAATGCCCTCTTTTCTTCTTTATATCTTTTGCTATTGATGTGTGTTTGCTGTTGAAACTTTTATGATGCAACCTTAATTTGAAAGGGATATTTTCAATGCTTGGTTCTTACATTTCTCCATGTCCTTACCTCTACCCTTAAAGCGTTTCTGAAACAGCCCATTGACTTTGTATACAGCATTTCTGTATTGATTGATTTTGCTTTGGAGTTCCTGCAGCTGTTGGTAAATTGAAAAGCTGTGAGGTGGCATGGGTTACTATGAAGTTATGGTATGTATTATAATAACTTTGAAGTTCAGTGTTTAGTGTTTTAGTAGTCTTCAAAGTACTGGTTGGACAGTGCTCAAATCAGTCTTAGTTTGGGATAATTTTATATGTTACAACATTGAAAGAAAACAGGAGACTTACTGTCATGTCTTTTATAAGCATTAGAAGTCAATAATTCTTAAGAAACAAATGTATTCAAGTTATATAATGCGTCTATTTTTAAAAGCAGTACTCTGGCATTTGTAGTTTATGCTAAGAACCATTAGATGGTGCCAGCATTTACATTCAACCTAGAAATAAGGAAGTGAATTCAACAGTTGTTTTCTGCTGTGTGTTGTAAAGGTAGCACTGATCTTGTTTTTACTGATTTTTCTCTCCCATCCACCTTGCAAATAGAAAATGGGCTCATAGAATACAGGATTACACATAGTTTCAAGTCCTTGTTGTAAGAGGGAGTGTTGTACTTTGAGTTTTAGAGTATATTGGAATTAGCTGTGTTTGTTAAATAACATGAGGGAGAGAGTCAGGTTTCTAGGTTTAACTTGCAAATGTGGAAACTAAATTCTTCTTATGCTGTCTTCTAGTATAGTAAGTTTGTATTGTTCTGTGTTAATCAGAAAAATAAAAAAATTCCTCGCAGTGAGGAAAGTGGTTTTCCATTTTGATGATAATGCCACCAAGTTAATAAATAGTAGGTTGATGATACCTGAGCAAAGTTTGCAGTAGCTCACTGCATACATACTCTAGAAAATCGAAATAGTCTTAAAATGACCAGTTTGTGCAATTTTTAATAAATTACATTGCAAATGTAAAAACATGAGAGTTATAAAGAGAACTTGGGAGAGAACAAAGGCATAGGGCTTGACGGCTTCTGTACATGCCATCTCAGAATCATGTACTCAAGTCATACCAACCTGAACATTCTCTTCTTGCATTTTTTCTTAACAGATTGAGAAGAGCTGCCTTCATGTTGAATAGAAATTTTTTAGTTGTTCAGGTATTTCAGTAAGGTAAATGATGGCAGCCAATGATATTTTGTAAATTTTGGAGACATCTCAATTCCTTGTTGATCTCCTGAGAATGCAGTATCAGGTTTTATACATGTAATTTCTTTCTTCACTTGTGTATGTGTGTAAACATAAGTGATACATTCACTTTGGTAATATTAGTGGGTAAAATGGACCCATGGTAATTGTGGGAGAAGAGGAAGGTAAATACTTAAAAGATAAATTCTCTTAGTTTGATAAAGAACATTCACCTGCCACTAAATCAAATTGTGGGTGAAAATGTTTAAGTTAGGTTAGAAGAAAGGTTTTATTCCTTGGCGCACAAAACACTGTGGAAATTAGTAGGCTGTTGGAAGAAACACCTAAATGAAAGGTTTTCTTTGCTGCCTTATGTTTCAGTGAGGATATCATACAGATAATGCAAACAGAAGAAAAATTGATAAATGAACAGAATGTAACTGAAATACCATTTACATATGTTTGCACTTGTACTTTATAAAGAAGACATTTTTAAGAAAGGCAAGTTGGGGATGCATCAGAACTAGAATGAATAAACGAGAACACTAGCTTTTTTAAGAGATGGATATTTGCTATTAAAGAAAGTACTTGGCACCTTAGCTGTAGCTTAAGAGACAGAAGTGGAATGAAGCATGCTAGTTTAGGTGACTGGGTTGCCTTCCTAATAAATGAGTTTTATTTTAGTGCCCCTATTTATATAACCTTTTCTGTTTGTGTTTTTTTTTTTTTTAATTTGTTTAGAACATTAGCAGTAGCAATACAATAGAAAATTTTTTATATTCATGTACTTTTTCCTGATTGTATTTTTGCTTTTATTGATAGACTGCTCATTGGAGAAGGAGTTTTGGTCAAGGAAGAAAAGGAGCTCCACACTAAAATGTGAAGCAGCAGCAGTATCTAAAGTAAGAAAGGAAAGTAAATCTGATACTTCAGAAGACCAGGAGATACAAGCTATTGGTGGCAAAGATGCTTCCATCTTTCTTTTCCATGCTCTGGGGAAAATAATTTACTGCAAAAGTAAGAAAACTTTGACTTACTCTTCCTTGCAATGGGTAAAGCATGTCAACCGCTAATAGCAAGATTTGCTAAAGTAAGGCTTAGGGTGAGTTCTAATTCACATGTCTCGTCATTAATAAGCGTATAAAAACAGTAATAAAAGTTTGTGGTAACTGCAATTGCAGCTATCTTTATGTATTAGGTAAATAAATATTTCATTAAGATGTACTACATGTTTGTAAAAAAATTACATAACTCTAGTTGCATTAGGTCCATGTGTTGCAGTGCACACAAAGCTAAATAGATAGCCACCACATTTGTTACTCTGTACAAAAGCAAATTATGCTTTTGTGCGGAATTATACATTGTTGTACAGTTACGTTCTGTCCTTGTTTGTAGTCCTAAAGGTTACAGTATAGCCCTGCAGCCTCATAGCTACTGCTTCCCTTAATTTTGTATCTGCTGTCTTTTCATCTCAACTCTCTGTTTCCCTTTAACAGACATATGTGCTCTCTCCTTTCTGACCTGAAAACTTCTTCCACTCCTCTGTCATACCCTGTCTCCTTTTCCAAATTACTTTTTACCTTACTACTACTGAAAGTTCTGCTTTTTATACACCCAGATTCTGTAAATATACAGAACCTTTCTGCTCCCTGTGTGTGGTTACAATACTGGTTTTTTTTACATTTAAAAACTATAATTCATAAGCATTTGGTATTTATTAAACTAGAACTATCTGCACTCAGCTAAATTAGGATCCATAATGCCATTGGCTGTAATAATTCACAATATAATTTCCCAAATCAACTGAGGAGAAATAGTGAAATGAGGGAATATGAGAATAATTAGATGAAATTTGTTACATAAAGTTTAATTAACTAATTATATGTTGTTGACTATATAATATTGACTGTACAATTAAATACTTATGCCTGCGTCAAGAGCTTTCTAGGACCTGAAAATGGTGTAATCTAGTTGCTGGTAGAGTTGACAGTTGCTAAAATGATGCTCAATATATGTGAAAACTACTATTCATGCAGTTATACATCTCCGTTCTTTCTCCTCTCTAATTTTTATTCTAATTTTGAATATTTAATCTGAAATTTAGGTTTTTTTCTTCTGGCTTTTTTGATTATATGCAGAAACGTAACAAAGTTTCTGATACTAAAAAAACTAAAGATTTTAAAATCCTTTGTAGGAGAACCAGTGTCAGAATTTCCTCAGCTGCCTGCTCACTTATCAGAATACCGTCGAGACACCTTGCTTATTCAGCCTGAGGTACATCTGCAATGACTGCTTGATTCTAGTTTGGTTTGAAAAAAAACAAAACAAACTCTTAAGTGATTGATGCAAATTCTCAGGCACAATGGTTTTGTCACTGATCTTAATATATGTGTATTCAGTCTGTCTTAAGTTATAGGGTAATCTGTAAGGCACCTCTGGAGGCTAACTTCAAAGGTAGATTAAGTTCCCAGGCTCTTGATCTGTTGAGTTCTGAGTATCTCCAGGGATAAAGATGCTCTCACCTCACTAATCGACTTGTGAAGGTGGACTTTGCCTTGCTGCAGCCTCTCATCCTTTCGCTGTGCATTGCTAAGAGGAGTCCAAGTTCACCTTTCTGTTACCACCGATTAAGACAGCTGAAGACAGCAATGGCTTCTGTCCCTCCAACCCCACCGTTAGCCTTCTCTGGGAGCAAACCAGCCTCCCTTTTGTAGATACGTGTCACTTTGTAGATCATGTGTGCCAGCTACCTAACCATCTAAATGTATTGTAACTTTTATAGGATGCTTTTCCTTATACACTGTGTAAAACTTTTATTTTTAATTATTTTTTTTTCCCTAATAGGATATTGTGGAAAAATCGCATATGTCTGGAAGCATGTTTAATTTATACCTTCACCAGAACTTTGTAGACTTTTTTTCTGATATCGATGATGTAGTGAGAGCTAGTGAATATTTGAGCACTGCTGATGTCCTTTGTAGTAATTGGAGTGTAAGTGTCATCTTTTTATATATGAATACTTTTTTGAATACTCTGACATTGAGCTTCTAGACTTTTCTCTAAGTGTTTATGAATGGTTACTGCAAGCTTACAGTGTATGTGGCAGTGAATTGTTAATGAATGCTAAAGTACATCAACTGTAGAAGATGTGCAGGTCCAACTTTTTGTCCAATTTCTGTTAAGTATTTTATTATAGGGTTATAGTGTTTGTAAAATATTCTATAAAGTATTTTTAAGTAGAACAAATTTATGCTACAAATGTGTTCAAGTCTATATGCCTTTTTCCTGAAGTAATTGAGCTAGCTTTTTCATTCAGCTGCTTTGAGTAAAAGTTTCACAGTAATCTAAACATATTCTGGGTCTGTCATGTCACTGCAACCACAGAGTGTGCTTTTGTTCAAATGACACACAGTGTATAGAGACCTTGGATTCACATAATGCCTGATTTCTGTCTTAGACACGGCTTGTGATGGAAAAATATAGCGCATCTGTGGCTACCCGAGGAGTGATACATTCAAATACATCCAGAGCCTTTGCCCACCACCAAGGAGGAATGGGGTTCCGACCTTTACATAAACCCCAGTGGTTCTTCATCAATAAAAAGGTAATTTTTTTTTTGTCAGGTGTGACAATTGAGTAGTATAGATGAGATTTGCTCACAGTGCTAAATGTGTCAAATGTCCTATTTTGATATAAGATACTTCGAAAAAGCGCTTGCTCAGAGTTACATTTGTATTATTCCTTCAATGGAAGAATAAGTTGGATGCCTCTGACAAAGTCTGATTCCTGTGTCCAAGTTGGCATACTGCTGGGAAAGTCTTAATCCTAAGTTAATGGAGGCACAATTACTGTTGAAATACTGTCGAGTATTCCTGAAAGTAAGCTTCAGTTTTTGTGCGATTTGAATCACATTAAGCTGTTGTGCAAGTTTAACAAATTACTGCTGTTACATTTCTCAGAAATAGCTTGTTTGTGAGATATCGAAGCTCTTGGCAATTTTTTATATTTGAACTAATACTTCTCTTGCTGTACCTGGCAAAAAATACTGGCCTAGATGGGTGGGGAATTCTATAATGAAGGGAGAAATATTTTCTGGAAATTCTAATGCCCAGCCCAAGGCAAAAATGAAGGAATTTACCATTTTTAGGATCTGCATAAGTTAACTCTAACTACTTATCTTTTTTTCTGGTCTCAATTTTCACTAGCTTGTGTGTAGTCATCTAGCAGGCAATAAGGAAGTCTGTCTTTTATGGTACAGAATATCTACATTAATAATGATTTACTAGGGTTTTTTTTTACTTCTGTTTGTTTTTCCCTCAACCCTTACAGTATCAAGAAAACTGCCTTGCTGCAAAATCTCTGTTTTCAAGCTTTTGTTTACCACCTGAGTGTCTTCAGACAGAGCTATTGCCTTATCTTGCTATGTTAGCAAATCCGATGAGAAACCAGGGTAAGATGGGTGTAACTCTTGAGCTTGGACTCTTTTTTTGTAATTAATGCATACGGAAAAAAATTTGTAATCCAAAATGTCAATACTATCTGTGCTTTTGCCTCATTAAAAAAATGTATTTTGTAAATATATTTTGCTAATGTGGTAAACAGTTTGGAAAAAAACCCCACATACATGTGTGCACAGTGTTTTGGTATCCAAAATATTGCAAATATATACAGGAATACTTGACCAAACTAATGAATTATTTATTTTGCAGTATGTTTAATTGTACATGCATTATGATCTACTCAATATGACACTGGTGATTCTTTATTCTTAGCTCAGATTGCTTTTATCCAAGACGTTGGGAGGCTACCGCTGAAAAGACATTTTGGGAGGTAAAGTTGACTTCTGTCTTTTCTTAAAGAAAGTAAAACTTTTTTTCTTTCTTAATATATTGAAGAAAAGAACCCTTTCATAGAGAAGCATCTTCAATTTACATCTATGAGGTGACATTTTCCCTCACTTGTAGCATTGTAATTTTATATTTTGCTTGTTAAAACTTTTTCCAGTTCAAGTCTATTTATCAATACAACGTTAATAGCAACATTTTTACTATAGTCTGGCTTTTAATCTTTGTTTAGCTTTCTTTTGCATTGTATCAAGTATTAGCTCTGTCCTAGATGTATCTATGTTTCTCCACTGTATGATGTGAATCAAATATTTCTTTTACAATCAAAAACATTTATGTGAAAATAAAACTGAATTGATGCAAAGAGTGTAGTGCACTTTGCCTATTGTTTAGCATGACATAAACATTAATCTGGAATTTTGGTAGAACATTCTGTGTTCACGTGTGTTAGAGGTGCAAGAAAGAAAATATAATGGGGAATTATTTCCTTTCAAGCAGTTGTATGCCTATGGAACTACAAAATATTTTAAGGAGTACTTCCTCTGAAATTAGATGGCAGCACTGGTTTTTATTTTATGGAATTTTTGCCTATCGGGCTACAAAAAAACAGTCTTTGTTTAGAATGCCTTTTTTAAAAATAAAACTATAGCTACAGAAGTTCCTCTGTCTTAGATGCTAAATACTGAAAAAATACTTTTTATTTCAACTGCAAGACTGTAGAGCTGTATTTACAGATTGTGTAGTGAGCATGGGGTGATGTGGCATGACGTGCTATAATGTGACTCTAGTGAACCTTCTGAATCGTAGGCATTGTTTATACTAGTAAAGCCTCAGTTACGTTTCTCTAACTTTGATAGCTCTGAAATTTAAAAAGAGTGTTAATTATGGTGGTCTGTTTCTCATAAAGGATTGAGATCATAGCTGGAATGAGACTAACTCTCTAATCTCTTAACCAAGAGAGTTTGTTATGGCATCCAGCAAAGCATCTCATATTTATCACTGTGATACTCCTGTCCAAGTTTAATGATGAAATACTGGCCTGCAAGGTAAAGGCCAAGAACAAGAATTACCCAAGAACAACCCCGTTCCCCAACAGTTGTATTAAAAGCCATTTTTGTTGCTAGTCAGGAAGAAAGGAAAGTGTCCTTAATGGGTATACTCCTTTGCAGTCTCCCTCATCTAAGCCAAAATGTTTCTAACTTTACATGTTAATTGTAGACTTTCTTATACCGTTAATTTTGTCTGCAGCATACCTTTAAATATTGATAAACATTTTGTATCTGCATTAAATAAGTTGGGTGTGTGTCATTTAGAGCTTTATCTGCGGGGTACCTTTCTCCTGAAAACATGGTAATCCTTTTTCATTTGCTCACTATTTTGGAAAGGAAGTATAGAAAAATGTAGGTATTTTAGTAAGCATTTGCTTCCTTCAGGAATCCTAATTGGAAATAATTTGTTTTGTGTTATTAAACAGTCCTTAAAATAACTTACATGCAGCTGCTTCAATGGAAATAAGAAAATTTTATTTTCTGTTATTTCTTAATGGAATGGGAATGGTACTATAGTAAGAAAGCTGGCACTGAGGAGAGTGCATGGTATTTGATCAGCTGGAATTGGTGTCAGGATGAGTTTTTGTCACTAACTGCGTAAGTTGTTATTATTCTCATGTAAAGTGGGAAAAATAATAAAGGAACATTGGTAACATACTGATACAGTGATGCTAGAAAGATTGAGAAGTCCAAATAGTAAAAGAAATTATAAATACAATAAAAGAAAAAAAATTGAGTAAAGAAATCTTTTTCTATTTACCTGTTTCAAGTTAAATTGCTTCCTGTCATAAAAGACTTTGGTTTTGCTTGGAAAGGGTCTGATGTACCATGGGTTGTTGGCAGTAAGTTAATTGTTACCAGTTCATGTGTGTGAGGAAAGCTCAGCAAAACCACTGTCACCATAAGGAAGAAACTTCAAGCAGTGGTGGGTATTGGGGAGTGATGGAGCACGAACATTGTCTGGTATTTTGCTGTGGCTGTGGTCTGAGGCTACGTAGCGCAGTCCTTTGCCCGAGAGGAACTCCTGTGTCTTCTGTAGGCTGTCACGTAAGCTGTGCTGCGTTGAGTTCTGGGCAGAAGAATCTATACCTGGAAGATGTGTGCAGAGCTGTAAAAATGTAATACTGAAGGTAGTGATATAAGCACAGAATGTGTATAGCTTGAATTAACTGTGATTGATGGAGGGTGTCACTACCAGAAAATGTGAAAGCTGTTAAGCACCAGTGAAGAAGGGTGACCTGGGTGGTACACGGGCAGTCTTTTCTATTGCAGTTTCTGTGTGAGAGAGCAGGAGATTTTTGTGTGTGTGGTAACTTACTGTTGCAATGGTAATTTTACAGGTTAAAGCTTGAAACGCTTACTGACAAAGATCCTGGGATACCAGACTTATTTCTTAGCTCTGAGGGGGACGGTGCCAATGTGCATGCTGTGGAGACGGCTGTACAGATGGAGAAAAACAGAACGAGTGAGAATGAGTCGGATGCATTCCCTCTCTCTTCTAGCCAGTGCAGTGGAAGCGAACTGCCTTGCAGTCAGCCTCAGCCTGTTGCAGCTCAAGCAATCATGGAGGAAGATGAATTAAAAATAGAGGAATATGATAGTGACTGAGTACAACAAAATACCGGACACTGACTTGCCCGAATAGATTAATACGCTAAAAGGTCTTTGCTAAAGAGAGTATGGTCTGCTCAAAAGTACTGCTTTAGCTACTTTGGTGGGCTAGGAGGCCAAGACTAAACATGCCATGTCAACATCGAGACAGCGGTCCTTGGCTTCCTCTTAAGTTTGCAGGATCAGACCTGAGCTGAATACTAAATTACAAGCTATTCCTTGCCTTTCCTGAGCCATGAAATAATCTGTATTGATAAAAAGAGAATAATAAATGACTGAAATTAGTTTGAGACTGTAGATAAGCAGTGTCACTCTTAAGTTATTTTTTTTTTTTACACATTTTAATTTACTTTGCAGTTGTACAGTATGTTTCCTGAGTACGCATTTGGTAAGTTGTCAGCATTTGAAGGTTTTATTAAAATTCATACCTTCAAAAAAATTGCTGTTTGGAAGCTTGGCCCTTCTGAGAGAAGAGACTGAAGTGTACATGTAAAAAGTTTGATATCCCATACTGATGATGTAAATAAAACTCCTGCTGTATTAATACTGTTTTGTACTCTGACACAGATTTTTGTGTGTTTTCAAGTTGAACTTGTGTTACACAACAGGTTATTTTGGATTCCTTTTTGAAAGACATTTTCTTAACTTATGGAGGGGAAAATATAACAATCAAGCATAAGTCCTTCTCATCCTTCGTATTCTGTAGGAAGTTAATGGTGTAGTGTGCAGTTTTTGTCCTTAAATTGCAGCTATGCTGGGGGGAAGAATAATCCTGGGTTTGGTGACTGACACGTGGGAAGCACGTTGTGGCTGTCTGAACAGTCTGTTCAGTACTTCAGTGTTTCTCTGCAACTGGGATTGGCCCATGCAAATCAATCTGTTAACACTGCTGTGGCTAGTGATACCACAGGAATAAGAAAAAAATCAAACAACTTTGAATGTCTAATGTATGTCTGCATTTCTGTATGGCTTACATCCAAAGTTTAGTAGAAGAAAATACGTGTTTATCCACCACAACCTTGGAAGTAATGCTGCTATTAAAAAGTCCAGATTTGTCCTTTTTCAAGGGGTAGGTGTAGTCTTTCCATCTATCGCTATTTAATTTTGAAGAGGGAAATTTTCTCCCTTAATTCTTAAAGTCCATTACAGAATATATACTCATTACAGCACAGTCAAAATGTGTTTAGTTGTTGATGCCCCGTACCATGTTTCCTCCACTCTCCAGGATGCTTCGGGTGGGGTGACCGTGCCTGAGCCAAGGTGGCAGCTCGCTCCACTCGGGCCTCCTGCAGTCGTGTTTCTCCTGTGCTGCTGGGGGGCCTGCTACTGCAAATGACAATAAGGCAAGACAATTTTTACTTTGCAAGCAAAACTCCAAGCTGCTTGACATTTTTTTCAGCTTTCCTTACAGTAGTATCGGGCAATAATAGCAGTACCAGAGTTACTTTCACATCAGCTGCTTTGCGTTACTGTTGACCTTGGCCTTACTGGGGCAGTATTTAATTTTCACCTGGTTAATTATGAATTGTAATGGTAGAGACTTGCCACTATCAACTACATTGTTCATAGTAATTTGTGTAAAACCTCTTTCACAGGAAAAGGCCACTGAATAAAAAATATGCTTTACTCTCTTTAATAATCTCTTGTGCTCAAATGTCTATGCTCTTGCCCCTGAATTCCAGGGCTGTGGAAAATGTGGGAATAGGATGGAAGCCCCAAATTGTAGGAGTGCTAGTGAGCGCCTGATTAAAACCAATGCCAAATTAACATTAAATCAATCCAAGCCCAAGGGAAGCTTGCGTAGCTGCAAGAAGGTGCAGGAATGAGTGTCAGTGCTACAGCCTTCTCATCTCCAGGGAGTGGAAGTCTCTATTCTGCCTCCCTCTGCAATGTTACCCCAGTTACAAGGCAGGGGAAAGAAGAGAACTGCCCTTCAAATAGCAGTCATAAGGATGACTTAGGAGAATCCCAAGAAGGAAGGATACGTTTGGGGTTTTTTTTGTGTGTGGTCAAAGAATTTTAACAGGTATGGCAGCCCTTGGGAAACCTCATGGCTCATGCTTGAACCCATCCAACACACAGTCTCCAAGTGTAGTTGTAATTCAGGGTGTGTTCAGTGTAGACCATGTCACCAACAGACCCTGGAGACTGGAGGAAGGGAAGCATTACACCTATTAACCAGGGTAGGAAGGAGGACCCTGGGAACTACTGACCTGTAGTTCTTACCTCTGTGCCTGGGAAGATCCTGGAACAGATCCTCCTAGCAGCTGTGCTAAGGTACATTGAGAACAGGGAGGTGAGACAGCCAGCATGGCTTCACCAAGGGCAAGGGCTGCCTGACCAACCCAGTGGCCTTCTATGATGGAGTAACCACATCAATGAACAAGGGAAGAGCTACCGATGTTACCTATCCGGACTTCTATAAGGCCTTTGACATGGTCCCCCACAACATCCTTCTCTCTAAATTGGAGAGATATGGATCTGATGGGTGGACTGTTTGGGGGATGAGGAACTGGTTGGATGGTCATACCCAGAGGGTAGTGGTCAATGGCTCAATGTCCAGATGGAGATCAGTGACAAGAGGTGTCCCTCAGGAGTCCGTACTGGGACCCGTACTCTTTAATATCTTCATCACAGAATCATTAAGGTTGGAAAGGACCTTCAGGATCATCAAGTCCAACCATTAGCCCAACACCACCATGTCCCCTAAACCATGTCCCAAAGTGCCACATCCACTCTGGAAGTATTTTTTGAATACTTCCAGAGATGGTGACTCCACCACCTCCCTGGGCAGCCTGTTCCAATGCTTGAGCACTCTCTCAGTGAAGAAATTTTTCCTATTATCCAATCTAAACCTCCCCTGGTGCAACTTGAGGCCATTTCCTCTCGTCCTCTCACTAGTTACTTGGGAGAAGAGACCAACGCCCACCTCGCCACAAACCCCTTTCAGGTAGTTGTAGAGAGCAATAAGGTCTCCTCTCAGCCTCCTCTTCTCCAGACTGAACAACCCCAGTTCCCTCAGCCACTCCTCATCAGACTTGTGCTCCAGACCCCTCACCAGCTTCGTTGCCCTTCTTTGGACCTGCTTGAGCACCTCAGCATCCTTCTTGTGTACAACTTCAGGAAAAATCATTATCCACAAATACAGGACAATGTCCATGCCAGCCAGAGGTGGTTGATAGTACTTGGCAGTGATGGCCCTTAGGTAAGGAAATATACCAGAGGCAATGAACTGGCATTTTATGTGCTTATATATGTTTATTTCTTTATGTGTATTTTTCTGTATGCTTATTTATTTATCTACATTCGCATCAGCTTTTTTCTGCTCCTGAGTGCAACACCTGTCAAAGCATTTTGGAATGAAGGCAAGCACTCAGCGCAGCTCCATATTGCCTTCATTCATCCCCTGGCCATAGATTTCATTAGACTGAGTCCATTCCCATTGTCCCTGAAGTGAATGAGTCTTCCACTTCAGCAAATGGGAGCAGAACTGGGTTTGTTATAAATGGCTGAGGTTTCTTTGGAGTCAGAGCTGATAAACATGGCAGCACTACTCCAAGATTGAAGAGTGCCAGATTCATTAAAAAGCTGCTCCAACCGTTTTGCATACTGTACACAGCAAGGGTAAGTGTGACTTTGTCCTCATCTTCCTGGCTATTAAGCTTTGTTCACAAAGCATAAGTATTTGTCACATACGCACTCCTAAGGAGGGGCAGCTCCAGGTAGGTCTGAACTTAGAGGAAGGATCAGGTGTTTCTGCTGCTCCTGCCGTGACTTTCACTCCTGAGGGAAAGTACTCGTGAAACAGTGGTACCTGTACATAAGCTAATGTGCGTAAACAGTTGCAGCTACACGCTGAGCTGTGGCATTGTCGCGGGAAAGTCCCAGCTTTCACCGAGGGTCTAATTCTACTCACTCTGACATCAAGCAACAAACCAACAAAAATTGGACCAGTGATGAGAGCTTCTGAAAAAAATTATTCAACAGATCACTTTAATGTTATTTGGCCCTTTCATTGATATGGACTCTGCGCCAGCAGTCTCAAGTAACCTCAAACATCAAAATCACAAAGTCTTATGGCTAGAAAGAAATTAGACATCTATTTAAGGGCAGCAGAAGACCACTGTGCCCATTTTACCAGCAATAAAAGCAAAAGTAGCAAAGTATATGTGATATCTTTGTCAGTTTGAGATAAAAAATCTTCCCAAAACTATGTATTTGTTAATGTATTAGAACGACCAAAAAAGTAAAATGTAGTGTTCTTTTCTTTTTATGGAGTATAAATATGTGTGTACATTTGTATTCCAACAGAGAAATCTAAACTGTGATTAATTCAACAGGGTATACTAAACAAATAACTGCCTATGTAAAAAGACAGTAAACAAAATGAATAGCGGTTTCCAAATAATTCACATGTTACAAAGGCCATGGATGCCAGACTGACACGTGGGACGTGGCAGTGAATTCACTATGCATACATTGCTACCGCTTGCCCCACAGCTGCCAATGTCCTAGATGTGATGGGGAATCCAGTGTTTCTGGATGCCTGCCTCCATGCCCTGAGGTCTCCTCCAGCACCCAGGAGCTGTGGAGCACGCTGTGGCTCAACACAGCTGTGTCACAGGGACACAGTCTATGCTTGTCCTCTGGCTGGGGACATGGCACCCACAGCAGGTTTAGGCACTTTTCAATTGCCTGTGTTTTTGAGCTGGCTGTTTGCCTACATTTCAGGTTAATCTTCACAGAGTAGCTTCTACCAGCGCTGGTGCTGGGTTGGGAGTTGGGATCCCAGCTATGTAACCCAGCTCCCTTTCAAATAGCTGGCTCCTTCTGGGGTGGGGAAGGTTTAGTTTTGTTCACAAAATTATACATCTGTGAAAACTTGAGAGCTAAAAGAGAAACAGAAGTCAAATTGTAATAATATAATCTTCCAAACCAGATAAGGGTTTGTGGAAAGACAAAACTCCTGGGCTTTTCTAATGTGTTACATCTTTTTTTGATTCAACAAAGGAAAAAAACTGCAACAGCAGATGGCATTTATTCATTGTGCATGAAAGCTAACATTTCACATCTGTATAATTTTGAAATTAAATCTTGTCTAACAGGTCAGTAAGTGCAAATATCTCTGGCAGATTA